TCCGATTATTAAGAGTTTCTTCTTAAGGAAAAGGAGCTTCCAATATGTACTGGGTGAAGCAGATGTGGAAGGCCTAATTTTCACCGTCAAGACGTTGTCCTACGTACATAATGCACTACTGTATATCCCGCAATCCCCATTTTCCATTCAACAGTTCGCACGTGTGGCTCAAAGTCTTCATCCGAATGGCCGCCATTGATTGGGTCCCCTTCATGAGGTGCACGTGGACGGCACACTCTCGTTTTCGTGCTGGTCAGGGGCGCCCCATTATCAATCAGACAGGAATCTCCCACAAACGACGTACTTCGACCTTTCACCCAGTAGTCATCCCTCGAAGAAAAACGTGCTATGGAGGGCAAAGGTTTCCCAATAATATTGTTTACTTTACGCTCGCCACTAATGCTCACAATTTTGACAAAGGAATTTCTTTCGTTGGTAACTTTATACCTACATCTTGTAATATGATTTGATAAGTCCTCTGACGATTTCTAAGAACAGCAAAGTGTTAATGATCAAATAAAGAGGGCTTTGCGGGACTATCAAACCTCTCCAGAAAACAATTTAGTTTGTCGAGTATGGGAAGCACTTGGTAAAGTGTGCGATGAAACAAATTCCTCGGTCACTTTACAAACAGCACGTCGGGAAGAACCGATAGGGATCAACCTCGATAGCGCTTTATAGTGACGGAAAGACATAATGAGTTTTACATAATGTGCCATTCAAAGCTCGAACAGCTCGAACAGCTTTGTTGCGATGGAGCGAGTCTGAACCCGAGACATTTTAAGCTTAAGCAGCGCCTCATCGCACTGCACTTCGAGAAAACGTGAGATAACTGGCTGAAAATTCTAACTTAAAAGTCCAAAGGTAGAATGACGATAGGTTGAAAGCAAATGTTGATTATGATTACGAAGAAAAAGTATTCATTTCTACGATCCTATGAACCGATCTTTTTGAGCCAATGCTAGGTTGGTATAGATCTTCGCTGTTGTTGTTGTTGTTATTTTTGTTGTCGTTGCTGCTGGTGTTGGTGGTCGATGGCTGACGTTTTGGGCCCACTCGTAACATCACGGCTCTTAGGAAGGCGAAATTGCTGAAACGTCAGCCATTGACCACTAACACCAACAGCAACGACAGCAACAACAACAACAAAGACAACGTAGACCTATGCCAACTTCGCGTCGGCTCAAGGAGACCAGTTTATAAGAACTTATAAATAAATTTATCAGCTATCTGTGGGGAGCTTAATAGAAAGTCGGTCTTTTGAGTTATTAAGAAGTAGAAGTACTTTCGTCTTTTTATTTACTGCCTATTCTTTTCCCATGGCAGGGTATGATGTGAAGTGCAACCACAAGGTGCTGAGATATCTGCAAATAGAAAGCTTTGAAAAAATCCAGAAGAGACATAGATGTTATCAGTTCCCAGGATCGACTTTCTCTTAACCTCGGCATTGGCATATGAATGTGTCGTTTTCTTGTTCAGCAATCGCGAGGTTTTTAAACAGCATACATTTATCTTAACTCTTCTATTTACTGCCTTTTTCTTCTTAATGGCAGGGTATGTTGTGAAATATAACTCCGTGACCCGGATGGTGTAGTGGTGAAGTGCGCTGCTCCCCGGTAAGGACAACAGCGCGTGTTCGTTCCCCACTGCATACACCTGTGGTCCGGAGTTTTGCAAATATCTCAGCACTTCATACGAGCATACATTTACTTCCATAAAAACACAATACAATACAACGCTAGCTGACGTTTCGGCAGTATCGCCTTCTTCAGAGCCGCTTTTTCGTGACTTCCAATGAGGAAGTTTAGAACAGCTGATTATAGTCGCATGTGGTTGACGACTCTGACGACTGTTTAAAAACCTCGCGATTGCTGAACAAGAAAACGACACATTCATATTCCGGTGTTATCAGTGTCAACTCTTGCTGACTGTCTTACCTCTTTCTCTTTCAGCAACGGAACATGGTCTCATGAAAACACCGAGAAATACTTTACCACGTGCTGTTTAAAGTGACTGACATTCTTGCTCTTATCATCATTGCTTAAATAGTAAATTCAAATATGTCAGACGCCTCTCGAGCGGTTCCATTGACATCCATTGAGCAGAGTCTGACTTATCCATTCTTTTTATTAATATAGAAATCTAAATTTCCTCACTTATCGTTGAACTTCTGAACCTTTTCTTTGTCTAAAATCTTATAGATTTTGAGATATGCTGCTGGAGCACCATTATTGTAATACAAGGGCGGTCAATGAAAATGCAGTAGAATAAGGCTTCCCTATGGGAGCATTTCCTAACTCCTGGTCTCCCATGTTTTCTGCGAATTTGTGCTTTCTATATTGGCTTCCTTGAGTTCTGACTTTGAGCTTACATGTTTCACTGACTTTCCTCCCAAATTTCAAAATAAGAACTACAGTGCTAGTACCAATATCCACCTAAATGATTTAGAATCACGTTGATCATCGAGTTAGATGAGTGAGCATCTCTGAAATCACCATTTGTTCCCGCAATGAGCCAGAACATTTCGATTGATTTTTCTCATTAGAGAGACCCGAACAGCGTCATATTTTTGGGAAAAGTCAGTTCAATTTTACGTTTCATGGCCAGAAATTATCCACAGGTGGGTCGCCAATCTTCATACATGTCTACTGCTAACTAGACGAAATGCTTCGAAATGGAATTGAACTCATTAGCTTGAGTGATCCGTCTCGTCGATGATTCTCTGCTGAACAAGGCGGTTTGAAATCCGAGAAACTTTACGTCGCAGTGAATGGTGAGACACTGAACGAATGATGGTAGTAGTCTATTAGTAGTAAAATTAACGATAGGAACAACTATAAGAAATGGAAAACGGCGAAAAAAAGGTGTTTAAGGGATGCGAGTTTACTCGATTACATTTCCTAGTTGTCGCCATTTCCTGGCGCCCAAAGTGTACACGAGTGCGTTCGGGTTGGCGTTCTATCACGTAACCGAAACACCAGTTGTTCATCGATTATCAGCTCAGAAGCTCAGCAATTCGTAGAGGACCCGAGTTATTTGTAGTTCTCATTTCTTCTTGTTCATTTCTTTTCCTTCCACATATCTCGTTCTATTTGTTTCGTGCTATTACTATATTCTATTACCCACAGTGAGTGTAAGAGGTGCGTTAAAACATTCCTAGAATAGATTAGTGGCCAATTTGCTACTGTTACGTTCCAATGGGCAGTACATTCAAATGGAAGCTCTATCGTTTACTGATCCGAAGAAAATGCTTGTTAAGAGGAATCCTACCGTCAAGGCAACTAACCTCCATTTGATCCACAAGGGCCGACGACGGTCTGTGGTGATCACCTACGAACGCATAACTATTTCGGATTTCCAGGGAAGAAAACTACGTTTGACGAATCGCTCAACATGCCACCAAGAAGTGAAGATGAAAAACCCTGAAGTTTCAGCCAAACCGATAGTGAAACGAAAAGAAGTGCTGGACTCCAGACAAATGTGAAGACGAGCGCTCCAGATCATCGAGTATCATGGGTCAAATGTCATCAGTCACTTCTCTTCCACATAGACTGTGTTCGCCACCATCTCCCAAACTCGGGCAACATTTTCACTCTCTCAATTTTATCTTTTATTCGTAAACGAATTAGCATTCATAACTCCAAAATCTGTTTTTTTCTCGTCAGACTGCTTCCTTACTTACTTCCATTCAGGACCTCCCATCATTGTTTTAACGTTGAACATGACATTATACGGAAGAACTCTGCGGGGTTCTTTGTTCTCCTTTTGTTTTCATATAAAATTGTAAATATAAATAGATTTTGGACAGATCCAAGGAGAAAGATCTGTTACTAGTTGGCATGGGTTGTCTCGATTTCTTCGCTAGTGCATTTTGTTTAGCTCAATTTTCCATTTAAACACGTCTGCAAGAAATCACAGTTTCCTGGTTGTAGAGATCCACCGAAGGGGCGCGTGTGGCGCAATGTTCGGAGGCGCCCTGCAACACACACGTGGAGTCGATCCCCACGCCCGTGGTCCACCAAGCCCTTCATCACTCCAGGGTCGGCAAATTGATACCAGACTTGTCTGGAAGGATAGTAGCATTGGCTCGATACATCGGTAGGCCACCGCGAGTCATTGTAAAGGCCAGATATGCATTCAGTCACCTCCAACGATGCTTAGTGAAGCCGAATCCATGGCTCATCCATCAGGGATTGATCAACACCGAGAGCTTTATCTTTTTTATCCTTTAGAGAAATGAAGGAAACTAAGAATTCGCTTTCTCGCCACTTGTACGTAACTTTCAAGTATAAACACTTAAACATCGAAGACAGCAAGTCCTCCATCGACTATCCCCATTCGAGTTAGAGTCTGTACAGCCAACATGCTCATTTGCTCATGCCAAAAACACCGCCACGAATCTGTACACGAGGGGCGGCGCTAATGGTCCGTGCCCGTGCGTCCAGTGGGGCTGGCAATCGGCCACTCATTCACCAGCACTGTCCAGCGAAGGATCGCTCGTATCCTTCCAGACATGCTCCATCTTCAGTATTTTGACTGTCAGTACGACTCCGACAAAACGTAAGTTTGCTGGGAATTCATGTTTTGGGCTATCTCCGAATTTTGCTGGTTGACTTCATTGGTCATATCATAAAGCTAGTAGTCCAAATCATTTAACAGACATTAGGGCAGTCAAGGCAGAACAAATTAATTTGATAACGAGTTCTTTGTTCTTCATTGATTGACAATAGGTAAGGAGTCCATGCGTTTGAAATGCACTTTCAACCGGCATTACATTCTTGCAGCACCCGTTGTGGCTCCTAACTGTGCACCTTCCAAATGTCGTTACTGCTTTATATTAACCTAGTTTTGAGAGATTAATGCTTGCTTAGATGCGTATTTTCATGCGAAAGATATGTGGAAGGGTTATATGAGACCTGTTTAATGTTTTGCTACTCGAGTTATGTGTTTTATTATTGATTTTGGTATCACGTCATACTTGTTACTCTAATCATTTCAGTATGCTTCAATCAGTTGTGCTTAAAGCTCGTGTCGATGACCTAGAGGAAATGGAGACCTTAATTTTCGACCTTACCGACTCATTGGGCACTTTCTTCGTTCAGGAGGACGTGTATTTCAATGTGCCCAATGGCAACCTCAAGCTACGTATCATGCATCCAAATGTGAGTTTAATGTGCTGATGCTGTTATTGCTTCTTACTTGGTTGCGTGAACAATTTCTATTTCCGTTTTTCATATTTCGCTTCTTTCTTACGCAATCGTCGTCTATAGTGGTGGTCTGCTTCGAACATGGTGACGTTCGCGTGGACCACTCTAAATTCGAACAGGTCCGTCCGTCGTTTGGGTGCTCTTCCAAGAGGACGCTTGCATTCTCTTGGATTCCGTTTCACTGTTCTTTTTGTCCATCTGCATTTGACCAGTTCATCTTATTATGTGATCGGTCCATCTATGCTTCGCTATCGATCTATATTCTCCTGCACTCGAGAATGGGATAGCTTTCGAAGATCTGGGCTTGTGCATTCCGGCTAGACGTTATGTGTGCCGGTTAATTTTTGCTTCTTTTTCTGTAATCACTTATGTCTACTTTCCAGAGTAGCATGGTTCATCAATGGTATCCGTTGTGACCTTTAGTCTTCTGTTTGTCAGATCAGATTTTTTGCGCGATTTCCACGAGTTTGCGTACGGGACAGATAGCTAGCTATCTGAAAACAACTTGACCTAATTGTCAAAAGATAAGAAAAATGCGGTTCTCGTCGGCAGTATCGTACCTCATTTGGTTTTTCTTGTTTTGTAGAGTATTTTTATTTCTGCTGACGTTCAGTGAGAGATGTGGTCGTAAGAGTAAAATTTCTATCTGTCTTCTGACATGATGTTCGTCGATTGAATAATTACTGGTCGGTTCACTAAATACTTAGTGAGAAGAGGTGTCATGCAATATATCCTTAATGCAGTACTACTAATAACTAGGTAAAAGGTGTACACCGACAGCAAGATGATATTTCATGATAACAAGATTAACTCCATGAAATTATTTACAGCACAAAGAAATCAGGTGAAACTTCTGCAGCCTTGTGAATGAATTCTCTCAAACAGTAGATAATTCCTGATGTGCGATTTTATTTCGTCGAGTCTACGGATTGGATTTTGGAACGCCTTCGCAGTTTGCCTAATCTCAGCATCATTGGGGTTATATTTCACATCACACCTTGCCATGAGAAAAGAATAGGCAATAAATAAAAAGTGATTACGTAACTCTTTATTGTTCAGAGGTGCGGTCAACTGATTTACAACGCGCTATCAAAAAAGTCTGGTCATAAATTGAGTGAATCGCAAATCACTGAAGTCGAGGATGTCTATTCTATTCGAGTAAGCCTTTCCTTAAACTATTTGTTTCAGTTCACTCAGGTCGACAGTGCAGTGTCACTGTTAGCTATTCTATTTCTTTAATATGTATTTATATTTTATATATATGTACCTATATATACACTCGTGTGTCTGCATGTATATTTATATACACATACCTTTCTCTTTCTCTCCCTCTCTCTCTCTCTCTCTCTATATATATATATATATATATATATATATGTATATACATATATATATACGAGGGCGCTTGTGGCGCAGTGGTCGGAGTCGCTCTGTAATACACATGATTCGAGCGCCGTTGGTCCACCAATCCTTGCACCCTGCCAGGGTCGATAGATTGATACCAGACTTGTATGCGAGGGTAGCAGCACTGGCTCGATACATCGTTAGGCCACGGCGGGTCATCGTGAAGGCCAGATATGCATCCAATCACCTCCAGACGATACTCGAAGAAGACGAATGCATGACGCATCCATAAGAAATTGATCAACGCCGACAGCTTTGTCCTTTTATATATATATAAATATATATATATATATATATGCTGCGCATCCAGTTCTTGGACTAAACGTAGCAGTACTGTAAGAGATAGCGTTCGAACTACAAAAAAGTGGGCGTCTCGGCGTGATGTTCATCGAGGCTGTTCTTATTCCTCATACTCTTCCTGGTTAACAAAATTGAGTGAACAGGTCTGGAATTGTTTTCTTATGCGTTGTTTTCTGTGTATGGATTCATAATGAGCAAGAAAATCTCAAGCTGAGTTCCAATGTTCGATCAATAGTAGTAAATTATCCTATCTACCACACTCATTTAATGTAACTTTGATTTTGAAAACGAGAAGCTATTCAGACGACAACCAAATTTCAGCCAGAGCTTTCGAAAACATTGCTTGGTCTGAGGTATTTGACTTCTGCCTTTAATAAGAACACCCAAGATATCAATCGCAATAGTCTTTTTTTTCCTTTGTTAATGGAATGCTGTCAACAAAGCCAAGGTCGTCATTTTGTGTAGTACGTTTTAACCATGCTCTTGACTGTTAACTGGTCTTGCCTGTTTTCCACTTGTTCGTATCGGAAATGCGATCTTTTGTTGCAAAAGTAGCATTGAGAAAGTTAGTCGTTGGTGACAATTAAAATAGAGGAACAAAATACTATTCATCGTTGAGAGCTAGATATTCTTGTACGTTCGGCTTGGAGATTGGAAGACGACCATTGTGGTTTCTCCATTGTTGTTTCGTTCTGTTCGTCATTATTCCCTGGCTAACTTATGTTTAGTGTTTGGGTCTGAATCATGATGTATTAATGGTTCCACTCGCAAAGACCAGGTGCTTCCACGTCATGATATTATGCTGGCTAGAACCGGTCCACAGTCTATGCACAAATCATATTTTTGCTAAATCAGCTTTTAAATAGTCTACTAAACAAAAAGAAGACTAGTTATATCGAATTTAGCGCCCCAAAATTTCTCGTTGACGGCGTGTCCAGAGGTTTAGAAAGTAACCTTCGCTACCACACTTATATATTGTTCGTTTCAATCTATATAAGTTTTTTCATGTGCTGGATTTGGTCACGTTCCTAAGCTCATATAGGTCCTTATTCCTATCTATGTTCTTCAAGGGCTCAAACAAAGATATACTACGATTTTAATGTGACTAGCCTTCCAACAGACTTTGGCTTTCGATTCTGAAGGTGGTCATTATCAACGCTCATTCTACTCAGTCGGATATTTTCACAACAACATTATAGGAGTTTCAACCCGAATTTCGACCAGATCCTGACCAATTCTGTGACCACCTGATGCTTAACTTATTTTTTTTTTGTAGGTAACAAGAAAGAACCACTCGCGCAGAGTTCACGGTACGTGACAACTGTGCCATTCCAGAGCAAAAACTCAGTTTGAGATACTAAGTAATTCATGTTTGTTTGCAAGACTTTCATTCCATCGGTTCATTTCTGGATTTTTTGGTGCGATTACGAAACATTCCAGAGTTGTTTGGACTTTTTGTATCATAGTGGTTATTGGTAGGGCACTTTAGCGAAGGTTCAATTTGTTATCTAAGTGTTATTTTGTGAGGTCTCAAAGCAGTCTATGTTTGCGGTGAGCGTTTTCATCCGAAATGTGGAATGTTGTGTCGTATAAAGAGAATGTGGTCACGAAAAAAAAGGATGGTGATTCAAATTGTTGTTTAACCAATATCAGCCATTTCTCTAGACTTTCAAGCAACACTTAATGGCTCATGCACGTACTTTGTCTGAAATGATGGTCAAACAAATAAAGTTCTACCAAGCCCAGAAATCGTTTTGTGGCGTGATTTCTCTTAGGTATTATAAAGTCTACGTTACTATTTATCCTTGACAGCTACTTTAATTTAGACCTAACAACTTAGGAATTGCTTTAGATTCGCTGCTAGTCGTCTTTGCTGTGTTCCTATCTCATGTTTCTGCATTTAAGGCTACACTTGGTGCAGCTCTTGGAGAACGAGGTGCGATCACAAAAAAACGTCGGGTGTTTACAATGGATGACGTAAGGATCTATTTGGATGATGTTGCTAACATTGGGCAATTTATTGACATAACAGTGAGTTTTTTTTAACAGAAAAAGAAACAATAAAATACCGATACTTGCTAAACTTCTACTTTTCGTACGACTGAGGAATAGCAAGGTGTTTACGTACACTTCCATACAATGTAAAACATCGTTATGAACCAGTGCCATCGACCGGGGATATGTACTAGTTACCCTTTGGCGATTTGTTAATTATCTAGTTAGTTATCCACTGTGTGTACTACCGTAATCCTGGCGGTTTGGTTTAGTTTGATTTTGTTTGATTTTCTTGTAGTTTCGCGGGGTACAAAATAGTTTGCCATGTCATAGTAATGAAGACTGTTCGTTGTTATTGAAATTCGTTGTGCAGCAGGTTTTCATCATTAAAGCAGAGAAGGCCGACATCTCCACCAGAAAGCTCAACGAAATATTGAATCAACTAACGAACATCGGCTAACCATCCACCCTTAGTTCCTTCCTTCCTTCCTCGTGCACTTTCAGCAAGCGAAGTCCACTGAGTCCAGCGAGTCACCTACATGACTATCAGAGGGCCTAATACACATCACATTGGTGCCTTGACCGGTGTCTTTCAAAATACAAGTTCAGGTTACGTTGACGTCATCAGAACCAGACGCCACCTATTCTCGACTTCAGGAAATTCGTGATCGTCTGAAAATCAGCGACGATGCCATCGTGCCGAGCGCCTATTTGGACATGATGATGGCGAATCTATCCTTCGACGATGACCTTTCTTCAAGAAAATCAACAAAATCCAGCTCCGAAACAGAAAGTGACGGATCTGTTTAGAAACTTGTTTATCTTAGCAGTAGAGTTAACGAAACCCTTCGCTAGATGCGCGTATTTTTAAAGCATGGTAAAGTGAAGTAGACATGCATAGTTTGAATACAAATTTTGTTTATAACAAACGAACTGCGAAATTCATTGCATTGATCGGATCTTTGTGAAGTGCATGATCTCGTTGAAGATTGACCAGTAGATTATTAACCGTAACTGGTTACTATCTCTTAGAAGGCATCTTTTAAATGTATTAATGTTCCCATCAGAACTATATGTGAGCTCTTCACTACATTGATTTGATGTACACAGTTAATTGAGTGAGCTGCACCTCCTGTTTTCCTTAGCAGGTTTAGTGATTGGCTCTAAAAACAATTAGCGGCACCCACCATTCACTACCTTTCTCTGTGTTCCACATGTGGGAATAGTTTATGAGTTACTTTGTTTTAGCCTTAAACGTTACCTCATCATTCGGGTGACATAACGTGTAGCCGATTTCCTACTGTATTAATAAAAATTCTTGAAGAATTTCTTCTGAAACAAAAAGAACATCTTAATGCGGTTTTTTGTGAATTGAATTGTGTTTATTTATGGTATGCACCTATGCACCTAAAAACAGCTCATGTGGTGCATTGGTCCGAGGCTCCATCCAATACACATCGTATTGATTCCCACGCTCCAGGTTCCCAAGCCCTTCATCTCTCCAGGTTGGGTAGGTTGGTGCCAGACTTGTCTGTGAGTCTGAGAGGATAGCGGCACTGGCTCGATACATCGGTAGGCCACCGCGAGTCATTGTAAAGGCCGGTATGCATTTAGTCACCTCCATAGTATGCTTAATGAAGTCGAATGCATGACGCATCCCTAAGGGGTTGATCAACGCCGAAAGCTTTACCGCTATCCTTTTATGCACCTATGCATTACGAACTACCTTGAATAACCTCTGAAGCCCTTTTTTATATTATACTGTGGAATAGAACAGTGTTCACCTGAATGCTCGTTCCCAAGTACGATTTACAAACAGAAACCAGAAACGACAGAAGGCCATTTCTGGCAAAACAAAAACGGAATCCTGTGAGATTCTACACTCGTTTAGTGCTCTTCAACTAAACAAAATCCTTTGAGGAATACTGCAGCACTTTGTTAAGTACTGGTGTAAGTTGGATTCGATTCTGTGCGTTTAGATGTTCTGTGTAAGGGATGTAAATGACGAAGAAGACGAATATTTCCCTAAATTGGCAAGCTAATGTGACGTTCTTACAGGAATTCATTCGGCTAATGTTTCGATGCATTCTCCTTGTTCACAGTCGGGATGATTCGAGTTGATTGGCCACTTCCCATCACTCCTTGGTTAAATGATTAGATGATTGAGAAAGCTAAAGGAAATTTGGTGTTGCAACAAATAATACTTCGCTATAAAAACAAAGCGTTTGGTATTGCCCGATCCCAGAGGGATATCCATGCATTCGGCTTTAACAAGCATCGCCAGAGATGATTGAGTGCATATCTTCCCTCTACAATGACTTGAGGTGGCGCACTGATGTGTTAGGTCAGTGCTGCTGCCCTACCAAACAGGTCTGCTATCAATTTGGTGCAACAGAAGGGATCGAAGGCTTGGTATGGCCGTGGCGCTGGGTCGAATTAGCGATCACGCATGTGCCGCAGAGCGCCTCTAACCACTGCGTTGTACGCGCTTTCACATCGCTCTTTGCAAGATAGTCACATTCTCACAGGATCCACTGTCTCCATGTTACAGTTCATTATCAATGGACAATCAAGCAACAACTGTCTTGCTTGCACCCCACTGGATTCCACTACACACTGAGAGTTACATCGCAAGAATGAGGTCACTCAAGAAGGCGAAAGTGCCGAAACGTTAGCTGCAATAAAAAATTGTAATAAAGTCGTATTAAAGCTCACCAGTCAAACAACATAATGATCATTGGCGCCGAAGTTAGATGAAAGTCGCCCCACAAAACTGATACGATTGGAGATTTGTTAGAGAGAGTTAATAATCGGTAGTATAACGGTAGCATCCTCCCAACGGTTTACCACGTCATCATGGCTAGGAGGTGTTCCTGGGTGTCGAGCTGTGATCTACAGTGGGTGGATTCACCCCACGGCAGGGTCTCCCGTGCTCAGAAGGAGTACGGCGTTTCTCGCAGGAAGCCTAGCTAAGAGTAAACCAATATCCACCACCGTCCTGGTATCAAACTAGTGGCATGGTGGCAAATCTCCTTTTGATCCACAAGGGCGGCGCCTGCCTATGGTGGTAACGACGTGGGGCAGACTGTGGCCAAACTGACTTCGAGCGGGGATCCAGGGAAACACAATAGCTAAACCAGCAAGACTCCGAAAAGTGAAGAATATGCTGGCGCCCGCGCAATCGGTGAGGGTAGGCCGTCCAAGTATCCAAGTATAAGGACAGTGTACAAAGGTGAACACTTTAGATACAGAGAAATTCTTCACACAATCACCTATCTAAGTGATGACATGAGTTTTAGAGTCTTGTTCTATGGTTCCCAAACCTCTCACTGGAGTCCCTTGTAAGGGTTAAGTGAATATTATGTGTTGAGCTTGCTTTTAATAGCGCTGTCATCAGATTCTATTAGACGTTCATAGACCTACTTTATAGATCTATTTTATAGGCTTGTCTATTTTTGAATATTTCAAAAGTAATCCCTTGAGCTCCCCTTAATTTCTTCACAAACGATTTTTAACACATTTGATGAGTATGATATGGTACGTCAGGAATATCATGAATAAGAGAAAGAAGCAGTTTAGAAGGTTCATGAACTGAGCTTTCTTCCTTTTGAGTTTCATGAACAAAGGTTCGTTCAACTCTTGGAGCCAGAGATGACGAGGGTATTTTGGAGCGCTTGCCTTAAATATGAAAGATTTGAGAAAAATTTCTGCAAGTGACTTACTATCTTCATTTTTTCAACCAGATATCATTTTCTCAATTATTTCTTGCTTTATTAGCATCCTACCAAGTAGCGGGATTGTCTGCCTTTCATTCTTCGGTAATAACTCGTTTAACCTAGCTTTGCAATTCACGTATTCACGTGAGTTGGCAACCAATCCACGTGATAATCACGAGCTCGTCAGTGCAGTTCACGTAATTCCTAGGTCAACGTTTGTTGACTGTACTGGTGGGCTACGTCCTCTTCACCCTCATCATCTCTTCGCTCTTAGTGGTACCAATCCAGATTTTGACAGCTCTCATAATATTTCGAAACCGACCTTCCCTAAACCTCGGTGTGACTAATCAATATGTGTTCTTTTTTGATAAGCTTGCACGAGGTTGATAAATATATTTATTTTCGGCTAACGTTTCGACGTCTTCGTCTTCCTCAGAGCCGGTGATCCGAGTCGATGGTCCATGCTTGTTGTTCACGTAATTCTGATAGCTCTCATAATAACCATAAATAAAAAAAAGCTTTCAAAGCTTTTCCAAAAGTCATACTCTTGTATGCACGAATACAACCAAATAACCTTCGACCTTGCTATCAGGCTTAAAAGTGGTTGTGTTTCATCGCATTGCTTTTAACAAAAGGAGCATAACTAATGTGTGAAAGAAAGCGGCAACCAGTACTACAAAATGACATTCAGACACAATCACGTTCTACTGTTGGGTTGAAAAAGAAGAAAAACGAGCGAAACATCTTCGATCCTACGCGGATGACGTAGGAATGGTTAGAGTTAAAATTTTAATCCAATGAATGCTAAGAATCCCGGTAATAAATAGAAAGCTGAGATGAGCTAGGTCGTTTTTTCAGCGAATCATGCTACCTGCTTTGTTACAAATAAGGAGCTAACGCTAAAAGAAATGCTTAGAGCAATCTGAACATGCGGTTAACGTGGCCAAGGCTTCCAGTGGTGTAGATGAAATAAAGACCTATTTCGAAGGTGATCAACATCAACGGGTGATAAGACCGGTGCCACGTGTAGTCTCCCTTAGTGAATATCGATAATTGAAGACATGTATTATTATGCAAGCTTCTAGGCTTTTTCTAAACAACTACTGTGCAGATTTGCCTTCTACTGGGAGTAACTTCTAATCATTATGGTTTTTCACGCTCCTACAGCTTGACGTTTAGCCACCTTCTTTGAATAGTGAGATGACACGAAGTTGGTATAAAATATTTATTTAGCTAACGTTTCCACCTCTTCTTCATGAGAACTGGACTCATCCGAGTCGATGATCCACAGATCTCGCGATGTGGGTGTTCGTGGTTCAAATGGAACACCGATCGAATGTGGAATCTCATTTAACGTCACCTTCTTATGCAGGACGTGTGTTAGTCGATTCCCAGTGTCCGATATGATCTGCTTATAAGCGAAATGGTTGGTGGCATATCATAAGGAACGTGCAAACGCTGTTATGACTATTACTTGGGAATGTGATTGGGTTTCTATTGTATTAATCTGAGATTCATCTGTTGATTCAAATCGTAAACATATGAAATCATGGTCAAAATCTTGTTTACATTACTGACAGTTTATTTTTTTGCTATTCATCTAACCAATAAACCGATAAACAAACGAGGTTCTCCTAAGAGGTTATCGTGTGACAGTTGTGACCGGTTCAAATCATCTGAATAAGCAGGCAAACTCTTGCATTCAAAAATCCGTTTCAATAATAGTAGATAAGTCACATGGGCCTACACTGTTCGTTTGTTTGCCATTTTTATGGGCTTTTTACTGTTTTTTTTCCCAAAACTAAGATGACTTTAAAATAGCGACTTTAAACAAATCATAAATAAGGTCTGAGAATAACGATTTTTCCATCGGTTGGGCCAAATCGATGGGCGGGAATTGGTGGATTCTGATCGAAGAATGATCATTTCAACGAATGCTTTCCCATACGCTTGTGTCTCTCTTATTTCTTTGGTTATCTAACACTTGGCCTTAAGCTCGCGACCGAGCTTCAGGTGTTCATTAGCGACATTAGACTCGCATTTGAGGATGCTTTTCGACAATTGCAGTATTTGAAACTTGAAGACTTTTGTTTCTTTTTGAAATCATTGTTCATATTTCTTCAGTTGCTATGCTGAATCAGAAGAAATCATGTAACGCAGTTGTAGTGATGCCATTCAATACGAACAGATCTCTAGTTCGACGGCGCACCTAACTTACTAAACCTTCCATTCATTAGGCTTTGGGAAGTTGGTATCAAACTTGGGTCGGAGCAGTTCACACCATCTAAACCACATGGGGACGTTCGAATATTGTTCGTCCAAAATTCGAAGGACAATCGGCTCGACCAGCATTCAACGGTAATCACAAATCCGAAAACCTTAGTGGATGATAGGTACGAGAAAAAGAATCGAATGCAAGAAGTGCTAGGATCTGCTCAACATGTGACATCGATCCACGCAAAATAAAAGGCAGAAAATAAAATGCTGAACCGTAATTACCGAAGTGCACAAAGAAATGCTTTTAAAAAATACCAAATTTTTGTGAATAGTGCATAAAACGGAAACATACGTCAGTACGCTAACTCCTCATAGACTCGTTTTCTCCCACTCTTGCTCATCGTCGCCGTCTTCGTTCTCGTCCTCGAGTTCACTCTCATCTTTGTTGACACAGAACGCAGAGGTTTCCAACGGCTCGCTTTCTGTGAGCAGTTGGACGCAATAAAGTTCAGTTATCACCTGTGTCACCTGTAGTCCCATTGATCGTCGAGTGACTCGAGCGGGCGCCAGTAAATCTTCCATTTTTCCCTTTCGCGTGTAAGAGTAGCCCAATGTGTTCTGCTCACTCTAGAGACTCGTCGAGCATCATATCTTTCTTCAAGGCTCTTTGTGAAGAACTCTGACCATCGGGTCGGTGGTCTTCCTGTAGTACGTTTGACAACCCGAGGAACCCAGTTACTAACGGCTCTTGTCCATCGGTTATCATTCATACGTATTACGTGTCTGGCCAACCTTATCTTGGACTATTTGGCGTGCAGAACGGCATCTTTGATCTTTGATCGTTGACGCAGATCCTCCTAGCATCGCCTTTTCGACTGCACGTTCGACAACGCTGAGTGACCTTTCATCCTGCGTACGCAGCGACCAGGTTTCTGACGCATACGTTAGGGCAGGAAGTACCGTCGAGTCGAAAAGGTGGGCACGGAGTCGGGTGTTCTTTGTACTCTTCACTACATCCTCGATGCTCTTGAAAGCTCTCCAAGCTGCTCGTTTTCTTCTGCTCAGCTCTGGAGCTAGGTCGTTCATCATATTGATTTCCCGACCTAGATAGATATAACTGGAGCATTCGGAGATATTCGGTCTGTTGAGCGTGAATGGGGCATGCGAAACCAATCCGTTCTCCATGAGCATCGTTTTTGTGAAATTTAGTCGAAGACCAATCCTTCCACAGGCGTTATCAAAGTCGTCAAGCATACGTTCCGTTTGGTTAATGTTTGGTGTTATAAGGACGATGTCATCAGCAAAGCGAGGATGGTGTAACTGCTGACTATCGACTTTTACTCTCATGTTATTCCATTCCAATGTTCGCATGACATTCTGGAGTGTGGCGGGGAATAATTTTGGCGAGATGGTATCGCCTTGCCTAACTCCTCTTTTGACGTCAATGTTAATAACTTTATTTATGTGATCCTATGAACTGATCTTCTTGTTGTTAAATGTTAATATCGTTTTAGAATGGTGATACCTTGGTTGTGAAATTTTTGAGCACCTCACGAAGAATCTTTATGTACTGAGTAGGGACTCCTTGACTATCAGGGGCTTCCAGAACTGCTTCTATCTCAACTGAGTCAAAGGCCTTCTGTAAATCGATGAAAATGAGACAGAGCAGTCTTTTGTACTCTCACGATACTTCAATGAGGCGTGTTACCGTGTGGATGTGGTTCATCGTACTAAATCCTTTTCGGAACCCTGATTGCTCACATGGATGTCCTTCGTCTAGTATTCTGTCAATCCTGTTTAGGATAACTCGAGTGAAAAGTTTGTAGACGACAGACAGTAAGCAGATTGGGTGATAGTTGCTGATATCGCGCAGGTCGCCCTTCTTGAACACACGGTGCTGTTGGTCTTCCACTGAGTAGCAACCTTGCATTCGGACAGGTAACGTGTGAAGAACCGGGCCACTCTGTTTACGAGGACTGGCGGAAGGTTCTTCAGGTGTTCTGGTCTTATCCTGTCCGTACCTGGTGCTGTTCGTTTTTCCACCGACGAAGTGGCATGTTGGATTTCGGAAGAGAGAACAGGTGGTACAACATATCCATCCTCCTTTATTTCATATGACGGAAGGTAGACGTGGCTATCGAAGAGAACCGAGCAGTATTCCTGAATGATTTTCTCCATTACCTTTCTGGACGCTGTAACTGTTCCGTCCGGGCGCCGGAGAGCAATCATTTTGGTCTTGTAATTGGCAAAGTTCCGGTGGGCCTTGTGAATGCTTTTTCTAGCCTCTGCAACTTCGGCCATTACTGCTGCTCTTCTCTCTTTAAGATCTTCTTTTATCGCTTGTCTGCATTGTTTTGCAAGTTCGGACGTTAGTTCGCGGTTGCCTGCAGCTCGTACGATTCCACGCTGGCGTATCAGCTCGAGTGTTTCTGGAGACAAACGTTTCCTGGTGACTTTCGAATTCTCAACTTTCATAGCGCTAACGTGAAGATGTTGAATGAGCTGATCGTATTCTTCGTCAATGTTATCGACAACGGCATCTTCCCAACAGCCGACTAATGAATTGAATAGATCCCAATTTACGGTGGTTCTGGGACTTCAGTTTTGGAATTTAGCCGCTTTTTCTCCTTTCCGCGAGAAATAGAATCTTGCACGAAGGAGACGATGGTCTGATCCTGAATAGAATTTTGGGACAACAGTGACATCGGTGAGACAAAACCGATTAAAAAGATGTGGATCAATATCGGCTATGACAGTCTTCGTCGTTGACGCACCGACATCAAACTATGACGAAGAAGAAGTGAAAGCATTCTATATGGAGTTGGAGAAGTTCTACAAAGAGGAAGGAGTACCTCGTTCCACACAAGTAATGGATGGGATCCGAAGATCCGATCTGCGTCAACGATAAAAAATCAAAGATGCCGTTCTGGACGCCAAACAGTCGAAGATAAGGTGGGCCGGAAACGTAATGCGTATGAATGACAACCGATGGACAAGAACCGTTAGTGACTGGATTCCCGGGATGTCAAACGTTCTGCAGGAAGACCACCGACCCGATGGTCAGAGTTCTTCACAAAGAGCCTTGAAGAAAGATATCATGCTCGACGAGTCGCTAGAGCAAGTAGAACCCACTGGGCTACTCTTGCACGCGTTAGGGAAAAATGGAAGATTTACTGGCGCCTGCTCGAGTCACTCGACGATCAAAGGGACTACAGGTGATACACATGAATAATAATTAATAGTAATAATAATCAATAATAATAATGATAATAGTGATAACACTAGTAATAATAATAATAATAAAGTCGGACATGGCAACAAAGCGAATACTTGGAGAAGAAGGTAATATTCTATTAAAACGTACTTCCAGTTTATTACCTTGGAGTAGTTAGCTGGATGAAGAGCTAAAACGAGTCCATTCCATGAGGCTAACAGCCACAGCCAAAATTATTTAATTTGAATTCGGAAACCCATAATGAAGTCGATATTCTTTCGGTAACCCATTCACACTGCATGCTGTTTAGGCTTAATTAGAGGTAAAGACGTACGAAATTTCTTTGAGCAACATTTTAACGGCTGGACAAGGAAATGATCGCAATGAGAACAGAGCACATTGCGTCGTGAAATCAGAGCTGCGTCCTGTTCTCAACGTCCCAAATCGAAATGGGGAATCGTCGGAGGCCTTTTTTGGGGTGAAAAGATATTACCAGTAACCTCAACAGTTGTATGCCATGAAAATAGCGCTGAGGAAATCGCTACACAGCCTAAATGGAGAAGGCGGGCTTGTAGAAGTTTCCTTTATTGTTGTAAGACTCTCTGGCATATGTAATTTGTTGCAAGGTAAAATTCAATGGATTTCTATTCTTGTTGAGAAAAGGCAAGGTGTTATTTTATTCTTTATTGTGGAAAAGATGATGTTTCGCCTGATTTCGTCTTCTTCAGAGCTTGGAAAGGCCAAAATGACTGCAATCTACCCAGCCCAATACCTCTATAACGGAAACAGCGAAATTGCTAAAATGCTATGATAAAAATACTAAACAGATTTCAATCGAATTAAGAGCAAAATAGCTTCTTAGCTCATTCATCGCTTTCTACAAGTCTTCGACTGAGTATTTTGCGTGGAGACCAACCACACAGAGTTCACGTGGAAGCGCAATGTGCCTCTCACATTTAAATTTGTCTTAAGTATAGGGTGAGATTCCGAAACATTCTGGATAAATCCAAGAATCAGAATATAAACCGCAGGGAGGGACCACCTCTAATCATGTGTGATCTCACACAGTATTTGGTACTATTTGGTACTGATATTTTAATGTGAGAGGAGCATATTATGTTTCCACGTGAACTCTCCACATGACATATTCAGTGGAAAGCTCATGGAAAGCTGTGACTGTGCAAAGAAGATATTCTGTGTTCAATCTGATTGAAATTTTGCTTTAGCATTTTCTCTGCTTGGTTATGGAGGTGTTTGGCTGGGTTGATAACAACCAACTTGGCCTTTCAAATCTCTGGAGAAGACGAAATTCGGCGAAACATCAACTTCTCCGAAATAACGAGTAAAATAACACCTTTGCTCAACAAGAATGTAGACAATTAGTTGATTGACGCCGAGTTTAATAGAAAGACGGGAGGCGGAGTTACTTCAATGGCTTTAATCGCCAACGTTATCAACGCTTGATGAGGGCAGCAAAAAGGTTCAAGCAGCCTTATTTCGTAGATATTAAGTTGTTACATATGAAATGTCCGATTTTATTGTTTTAATGTTCCGTGTAGTTTTTTAAGTGAAAATTTTGTTCTTTATGTGTGTTCAATATATATTTTTGAAGCAGAAATTCTGCTCTTTTTATGTAATTTTAATTATTTCAAGATTTGCTATTTTAGCATTTTTATAGGCTTTAGCTTTAGAATGTGAATCAGTATGACATGCGTGTCCTTTTTTGTTCTAGTGGAAGAGTGGATGTAGGCAGCGGCAGGTGCTCGGAATATCATCACGTTTGGTGTGAAGGTGGTGTTGGTGAATCAAAGGGGGCGAACCTGGCTCTGGAAATTCCGATCTGAAGATGTTAACCTCGAAGATAAGGAAGGCTGCGGACGTCCCAATGAACTTGACGACGACGAATTGAAGGCGCTAATGAAAGCAAACACGCGAACAACTGTTCGAGAGCTTGCAGAACAGCTTGACGTAAGCACAGGAACTATTCCCACTCACTAGAATCGCAAAGGAAAGACAAAAAAAACTCGACAAGTGGGTGCCGCACGAATTAAACGATAATAAAAAAAATCGCCGTTTTGAAGTGCCACCTGATCTTATCCTGAGCAACAAAGCCGACCCTTCTCTTGATCAAATTGTGGAGTGCGACGAGAAGTGGCTTCTATATGACAACATCCACAAGACTTCTCAAAGCCGAAATCGCACTAAAAAGAGGTTACGGTGACTATTTGGTGGTCTGCAGCCGGGCTAATTCATCACAGGTTTTTGAATCCGTGCGAAACGACTACGGCAGAGAAGTATCGCCAACAAGTCTCGACGGAATGCACCGTAAACTCCAAGAACAACGACCGGCGTTGGTCAACAGAAAAGG